CCAGCCTCCAGCGAAGCGCCTTCCCGCCCGGTGGGTCCCACGCCGGCAGCTGGCCTAGCGCTCTCACCGCGCAGGGAGGCGGCGCTCGGCCCGGACTGGTGCGCACGGGCGGCACCGCCTCTCACGTAGGGGCCGGCCCTGCGGCCTCCCCGCCCTGCGGCCTCCCCTCGCCGGGCCGCTCGCCCCTCCTCCTGCCTCAGGGCGGGCCCGCAGTCCCAGGCATAGCCCGGTGCTGGGAAGCTGGTGTTTCGTCGGGCTGCTGCGTGAGGCGGGCCGTGGAAATGCCGGCCTTGAGAGAGGTTGTTAGTCAGACGAGTTCAAGTATGTCGCAGGAAAGAAAAGAAAATGAAAGGAGGAAATGTGATACTTAGAGAGGACTTATGCAGGAGTATCACGCTTATGCCTGAGGCGCTCAGGACCATCTAAAAGAAGTTTTTTTTCTCCACGTATGGTTTTTAATTTTGGAGAGACTGCAAAGAGGCAATGCAAAGATTTGCTCTCCGGACATTGTTTGGCATTCCCCCTCTGAAAGTGAGGGTAGGTTAGTATATTTCTGGTTGAATACAAAACACATCCAAGCAATGGATTTTATAAACTTCTCCATAGCTTAAGCAGAGGTATTGCCTGCATCTTTTAATGGTGTTTGTCATAATAAACTAGCATAGAGAGTTTAAAATAAGGGGTCTTCTATACTATTTTTGTATAGAGTGAGCACAGTTAAGCACATCCATACAATTTATTTATTTTTTTAATCTGAAAAATCACATCAGGAAAAACTGCATTATGAAAACCTACCCTTAGAGTTTCTTCATTCTTGGTTATCTCTTATTTTCTCACAGTACCAGTAGCTATTTCAGTATGATGACCTGACCTAGACAGGAGGTGTTGGCACCTAGCCCTTTTAAAGATATCTCTATGCTATGTAAAGAAGTAAACCAGTTGATATGATTTTACTGAAAGCTTTGTAGGTGAGTATCCCCTGTATGAAATGCTTGACTGAAAGGGTTATGAATAGCTGGCAGCTGAGTATTAGTTGATAATTT